CACCTCGCCCGGCTAGTTTTTTTTTTTGGTATTTTTTAGTAGAGACGGGGTTTCACCTTGCTAGCCAGGATGGTCTTGATCTTGTGACCTCGTGATCTGCCCGTCTTGGCCTCCCAAAGTGCTGGGATTACAGGCTTGAGCCACCGCGCCTGGCCTAATTTTTATATTTTTAGTAGAGACAGGGTTTCACCATGTTGGCCAGGCTGGTCTCGAACTCCTGACCTCAGGTGATCCGCCTGCTGTGGCCTCCCAAAGTGCTGGGATTACAGGCGTGAGTCACTGCTCCCGGCCTAATCTTCTATTATTTTATTTTATTATTTTTTTCTTTTCCGAAACAGAGACTCACTCTGTCATCCAGGCTGGAGTGCAGTGGTGCAAACTCAGCTCACTGCAACCTCCACCTGCCAGGTTCAGGTGATTCTCCTGCCTCAGCCTCCCGAGTAGCTGGGACTACAGGTGTGCGCCACCATGCCCAGCTAATTTTTGTATTTTTAGTAGAGACGGGGTTTCACCACGTTGGCCAGGATGGTCTCAATCTCTTGACCTCGTGATCCACCCGCCTCAGCCTTCCAAAGTGCTGGGATTATAAGCGTGAGCCACTGTGCCGGGTGTATTTTACTATTATTATTATTATCATTATTTTTTGAGACAGAGTCTCGCTCTGTTGTCGCCAGGCTGGATGGAATGCAGTGGTGCAATCTCAACTCACCGCAACCTCCTCCTCCCAGGTTCAAGCGATTCTCCTGCCTCAGCCTCCTGAGTAGCTGAGACTACAGGTGCACACCCCCCACGCTCAACTAATTTTTGTATTTTTAGTAGAGATGGGGTCTCATCATGTTGGCCAGGATGGTCTCAATCTCTTGACCTCATGATCTGCCTGCCTCAACTTCCCAAAGTGTTGGGATTACAGGCCTGAGCCACCGCACTCGGCCACTACTGTTATTTTTTGAGACAGAGTCTCACTCTGTTGCCTAAGCTGGAGTGCAGTGATGTGATTTCGGCTCACTGCAACCTCAGCCTCCCGGAGTTCAAGCGATTCTCTTGCCCAGCGTTCATAGTAGTTGGGATTACAGGCTTTTGCCACCACACCCGTCTGATTTTTGTATTTTTAGTAAAGACGAGGTTTTGCCATGTTGCCCAGGCTGGTCTCCAACTCCCGACCTCAGGCCATCTGCCCGCCTCAGCCTCCCAAAGTGCTGGGATTATAGGCGTGAGCCACAGTGCCTGGTTCATAATCTTCTTTTTAAGTTTTCTAGCACGTTCAAACCTCACTGGCTTCTCTAAGGAAACAAGGCTGAGACCTAGCTTGACATTGCAAGGTTTACGGGAAATTATGAACACCATCATTTTAAAAAGTAGTTATTATCTTTTCTCAGAACATAAGCTTAAGGTTAGTGATCTCTATCAAATCTTGGCTGGCGTGATGAGAAACGGGAGAAAGGACATTATTTACTAGAGTGTACATACACATACTTCTGTTCTAGTATGGGGAAGGGGGAAGGCAAGAGACAAGAGGGAGGTATTCTTATTGGGGCACAGTAACGGAGAAAATGTCTTTAATTCTGTCCATGTTCAGACAGAATAATTTAGCACCTTTCTCTGCAGAGCTTCCATTAAAGAGAAGGTAGAGCTGATTCGACTTAAGAAGCTCTTACATGAAAGAAATGCCTCATTGGTTATGACAAAAGCACAATTAACAGAAGTTCAAGAGGTGAGTTGCCATCATGAGCTGTGCTTTCTTGGTGGGGGGAACCCCAAATAAGAGATTCATATTATTTTCTCCATTTTACATATGGGAAGCCACAATTCAGAAAGACTAAGTTACTTGTCTAAGGTCACACAATTTATAAGTGGTATTCAAATCCAAGCCTTACAGCTCGGAGTATATTCTTTTCCCAGTATTTCCCATTATTTCTCTATTAAGAGGAAGGCTCAAGCTCTGCCTGCTAAGGTGAAATAGAGTGGAGTTGCC